GACTCCAAACCACCCAAGTTAGTAGTAAAATAACAGGAAGTGATAAGTTTTAGGGGTTAATTTTTAAACTTGCTTTAAGATAGAACTCATTCCATAATTAGCATTTGTAGTTTGAGTTTTAAAAACAGTATCTGTGCCAAAGAACTGTCTCTTGGGGCTCCTGCAGATATAACTGGCAACTGTCCTGGTCATGGTCTGCCACACCGAGGGAGACACAGGGAAGCTGCTATCTTACCAAGATCCATGAGTTATGGTGGCAGGCCTTCCCCAGCAAGACTAGCTTCTCCGTATTCCATCTTTCTCTTGTCTGTTTGTGTATTGTCAACAATCTGTGACAGGGACAGGCTAACGACAGTTGTCCTTTGAAACTGGAGTCAGAATATAAATGATCCAAGATGGGGACAGTGGAAAACAGATAGATTTGGAATCTTAAATGAATCCTGATTTTGAGTCTTGGCCCCACTATTTGCTGATTGATTATGGGATCCTTCTAATCAAGCTCTTTTTTTTTTTTTTTTCCTTTTTGGTCAGGCTTGGGTTTTTTTTCCCTGTCAGACACCTAACTCAGATCATACGAACATTTAATGTCTTCTGTGGATAGAACACCTTGGGTCCTTTTAGGTTCATCAGTCTCACACATGCTTTCTTAGTGATGCTTACATACATTTGTTATAGACTCTAAGCAGAACCAGGTACAAATATAGTAACAATGAATGACAACAGCATCTCACTTTCATCCAGATCCTTCTAAGTTACCAAGGAAAAGCCCACTTCCAGCCTCTGAAGTTCTGACTTTAGATCAGGATACATCTTAATAGAATGTTCGAGAAAAAAGAACAAAGGGAACCTTATTCCTAGGAAACGCAAGAGGTCATAACCAGGTAGTAATGAGAAATAAGAAACAAGCCCTCTGTTTTTGTCATGTCTATTGGTTGCTTCATTTTGTCTGAAAGATAATCAAATTATCAGAAAAACTGCTCTTTTGTATTTATAAGATTGATTATTATAGGAAACTTAGAAATTTATAAAATGTATAAAACAAGGAGAAAACACCTATATCTAGTCTAGTGGTCTACTTTTCTTTACCCAATACTTTGTCGTATTTTCAAAGTGTTCTCTGTAACCATTTCAGGTGTTGTTTATATCAACCTTAGTGAGTGGTAACTTGCTTATCTGGTGTGTTATTGTGGATGTAGTATGCTACCTTCTTATCCTAAAGAACATTGGGGTAAATTGCTTTGCTTAATAATAGACAATGTATGACACTTGGATTCTAACAGTAATATTTAATGGTTTTAGCAAACACATACTTTTGAACTGCCTTGATTTGATTCTACTTAATATGGCTGGAATTCACCTAGAGTCTGTGTCTCTAAACACTGAGAGGGCCGTTTCCCCCGAACCCTTCACGATGATGCATTTAACTGGAGCTTACACTCTGCCCCCATATTCATTCAAGTCAGCGTGATGAAATGTGTGGTCAGTAGATTTTCTTCCTCTTTTTCTTTTCTTATGTTCTGAGTCACAGCTTCTGTCTAGTATAGGCTTATTCAGAGAGTCCTAGTGGTTAACAAATAAGAGATTTAGTCCAACTTAGGATCAACAAAAGCATCGAAGAAGGTTGGTTTCTTTCTTTCTTTTTTTTTTTTCCATTCCTCCATTCATGTTAATGGTTTTCATTTCCCATAGGAGAGATGGCAGCTGAGCAGTTGTGGAATTCTGACTGTTAAATGAAAACTGTGAAATGAAGTATGTTGTTGTCTTAATTCACTGACATGGAAAACCACGACTCCAGTAGTTATTTGATTAAATGTTAATGAGCTCTACTAAATTGACCTAACTCTTACTTTTGTGTACTAAATTTATGTCAATTAAAACAAGCCCCCTTGCACCTATTTTTTCTTTTTTTGCATTGTTGAGTGAAGCTCTGCTTTTGGGGGCAATGCTGTGACTACAGTACTTGTTTAAATATTAATGGTGCCATTAAGCAGGCTGGAGGCTTGGTGCTGGAAGAGAGGGAAACTAGATAACAGGGTGGGTTTTTGTGTCTGCCCCAGGGGACCCGCTTCCTGGAAGAGCTTCTTCTATTAATACTATTTTTTTTAAACACTATTCTTCTGTTTTCCAAATCAGTGGAACTGTTGATTTCAGGCATTTTTTGAAAAGTAGCTATGTGACTAAAGCCTTGGTGTAACAAATTTACATAATTAAAAACAATATCTTAACTGTGCCATAGTGGCCATTACCCCTGGGTCTCTTGAGAACTTAATTTCAATTTCTAAATGCATTTGGTTCTTTATTATAGTCAATAATAAGCAAAGTCATTTTTGGCTATTTACTATATTTGGATGGGTTTGTTTATATTAAGCATAGAGAATTCTATTAAGTTAACCCTGAGAGACACGACAAGGGTCATATATTCAATCAAATTATGATTATAAACTGTTGCCTCAATGGGAAAATGTTGCTGAAAAGCTTTTAAAATTTGCCACAACCGAGTATTTTGTATTATGCTATATTGGGTTGTGTTAAACATGTGGCTAATAGGTTTGTACACATATTGCATTTTTAAAATGTTCTAATGGTTTGACATTTTGAAGCACTGAAAATCAAAATCAGGCATAGTATTTGCATAGTTGTAATCAGAAACCTGAGTGAATGGAGAATTTAATTCACTGCACAGTATTTTGTTTAGAATTTTGCTGCTGGGGGTATGATTCAGTGGCAGAGTACAGGGCTCTGGGTTCCACCCTCAGCTCTAAAACAAACCACCCAAAGCAGAATTTAGAGCTAAGGCTGCCTATCATGCTTAAGTATTGGTGGTGCAGAGCCAGGAGTTGGCAGGTGCAGTGCTGTAATGCACTAGGCAGTAGTGGGGTAAAGGTGTGGCAAGAGAGGCATCTGCCTCAGAAGATCTAAGGCAGTGACAAAAACTTGGTAATCACCGAGTGGTGATACACGTCTTTAATCCCAGCACTCAGGAGGCAGAAGCAGGCGGATCTCTGTGAGTTCGAATCCACCCTGATCTACAGAATGAGTGCCAGGACAGGCTCCAAAGCTACACAGAGAAACCCTGTCTTGAAATACCAAAACCAACCAACCAATCAACCAACAAACAAAAACAAAAAACCTTGGTAATCACGGGAACAGTGTTTTAACAAAACACATCGAAAACTCCATAGAATGATAACAGGAAGACTGAGATAGAAATAAATCAAGATTTGTTTGTTTGTTTTGAAATAGGGTATCTCTGTGTAGTTCTGGTATCCTGGAACTTAGAGGCAGAGGCTGGCCTCTAACTCACTGAGATCTGCCTGCCTCTGCCTCTCTAAGTGCTGGGATTAAAGGCATGAGCCATCAGGATTTTAAATGAAACCAGCCTGTGATCACATTCAACAGGAGCTTCATGTATCCCACATACCCAGGGGCCGTGAAGCCAGGCCCTGGTTTGTCTACCTTCGTGTCATTACATGACACCACCTATCAAGTCCACTTTTATTACCTATCCTTGATGTGTATCATCCTTGCCTTTCTGGTGGAGTCATTAGGAGATTCAAATCAGCTAAAGCACATTAAAATATACAGGAAGTTGTGCAAGCACAATTTTTGTGTTTCTGTAAAGTCTGGATGGCAGGCGACATGATTTCAAGGCATTGTGATGATGTGCTGGGAGAATACTCTCAGCGAAAATCACATTTAAAGATTGTTACCAACATTGTCCTTTTTCTTCTCTCTCTTAAAAAAATATTTATTTCTGTTTTCAACTCTGTGTGTGTGTGTCTGTGTGTGGGTATGTGCACTTGTGTGCAATTGTCAATAGAAGCCAGAAGAGGGTGTCAGATCCATGGATCTGGAGTTCCAAGAGGCTGTAGTCAGGCAGGAGTATCGGTGGGGCTACCAGACTAGGAGAATTCTGGGAAAAGGAAGGCAGAGAGTGAGTTGCCAGCCAAATGCAGAGGAAGCAAGATGAGAATGCCTTACTGAGAAAAGGTTCCAAGCCACGTGGCTAAACACAGATAAGAATTATTGTTAAGTTGTAAGATTTTGTTAGTAATAAGCCTGAGCAATAGGCCAGTTTATAATCAATATAAGCCTCTGTGTGCTTATTTGGGACTACAGGATGGGGCAGGGCGGTAACTTCCTTCTATGACTAGGATTAAAGGTATACATGTGTCTAATTTCTTAAGTTTACTTATCAAATGAGCAGAGGGACATGGAAATAGAATCCTCCATCTCTTTTTTTCTGTTTTGTTGTTGGATATAAAACTTGTGATTTATAAGTGATAGAGGGATCCTAAAAAACCTATAGCTTATTTTAAATTCCCCTGTGAAGTGCACTGGAAACCCTTGGTCTCCTGTATGTTCGGTGCCAGGTGTGTGTGTGTGTGTGTGTGTGAGAGTGTGTGTGTGTGTGTGTGTGTGTGTGTGTGTGTGTGTGTGTGTGTGTGTGAGTGTGTGTGTGTGTGTGTGTGTG